TGCAGTGGGCATTTGGTCGTCAGTACAGTCACGACAGACGCCTTTTTGATGGAGGTCATGCTGCTCCTTTACACTGCTCGGAAGGAACTGCTGGTACCTCTTTCAGAGAAAATCTACAGCACCGCATACAAGCAGAGGTAGTGTTCAAGAAAGCTCAGGCAGCCCGAAGGGTGACCCTTGCCATGCATTCCCGTACCAGACCTCATCAAGTCTTTCTTCCTGGGGATCTAGTTTACTACAAGCGCATCAAGCCTCCTGCTGATTTTCCAGCCAATCCGAGTTTCCAGCCTAAACACAAGCAAGCACGTTGGTTTGGACCGGCCCGAGTTCTGTCCTCGGAGACTCGTGCTGATGGTGGGGAGCGACGTCCAGCTGCGGTGGTCTGGATCGTCTCTCATGGACGGCTCAAGCGATGCAGCCAGTGGCAACTTCGTCATGCCACGGTGTCTGAGGCCATCATTGCGGAAGGTGCCAGGGCTCCAACGCCTACGTGGACGTTTCATGACCTTATACAACACCTTCACCGAGGACAATATGACACCTATGATGATCTTACTCTTCCGGAAGATCAACGTGAACCTCGTGACAGGTACCCCACTCCAGGAACACTTCCATTGGCTGGAAATCCCGAGAGACCCAAACGAACTCAATCTACAGGAGCAGATGGAAGAGGAAGAACACCTACGAGGGGAAGGTCAAGGTCCCGTGTCCGAGCTCTATCAGAAGATCGTCGACGTGAGGTACAAGATTCGCTTGCCCTACCTGTACCTTCTCCACGTCCTGGTCAAGGAGCAAGTTCTCAGGAGGAAGGGCCTTCGAGAAAGCGGAAGAACGAACAACCTCCACCTCAAGAAGAACAACGTCCTGGATCGGAACAAGCGACATCCTCTACGAGTGCAAGGCCAGAGTGGATCGAGCCCAATCCGGAACTGAGCCTTGAACGTCTTCTATCTGACCCGAGATACTCTATGCCCCGAACCAGGACCGCACCGTCTACTACGTCCTCTCCTCGTCTACGAGAACCCTCGGACTTGTACAAGAATGAGCAATTTCAGAAGCAACAACGCCTACGTGAGCAAGAAGAGGGAGCTCAACTACTTGCGGACACTGTTGATGCGGAGCAGGCTTTGTTTGCTTTTGATGAGACACACACTGCTGTGTGTCAGATGGAGCTGGAGCTACCCCGAACTGGAGCACAATGGAGAGCCTTTAATCGTGAAGATAAGGTCTGGGCAGCTCAGATGCTTAGAAAGTCCGAGGTTCGATGGTCATCTTTAACTCCCAAGGCCCGTGAAGAGTTCCAGAAGGCTAAGATGCTTGAAGTTGATCAATGGATTCAGGCCGAGGCTACCAAGGCCATCGAAGGACATATTGATCCTCAACGAGCCATCCGAATGAGGTGGGTTTTAACATATAAAGAAAGCGGGGCTCCAAAAGCCCGCATAGTTCTCATTGGCTTTGAGGACCCAGATTTGGATACCCTTGGTCTCTTCCTCTCCGACAATGTGCAGGAGGACTCGGCAGTTGGTGTTGCAGTTTGCTGCTCAGAAGGGCTGGCGATGTCTTAAGGCGGACATCAAATCAGCTTTCCTTCAAGGACCAGCGAGCCAGGAAGCCCGTCAACTGTTTGCCATTCCGGTGAAGGAGTTGGCAGAAAGAATGAAGATACCTGAAGGACAGGCAGTTCAGGTGCGCAAGGCGGCCTATGGACTGGTGAATGCCCCGGCGGAGTTCTACAAGGCAGTGGATGCCGCTTTGAAGAAACAAGGTTTCTCCCAGATGAAGACCGAGCCATGTGGTTGGATTTTTCGAGGTAAAGATCCAACTACGGGACAAGTCACAACACTGGGAGTTATTGTCAGCCACGTTGACGACTTCATCATCTGTGGATGTGAGCAAAGTGATGAATGGAACCGAGCGCTATCTGCTTTCTATGAGCAGTTCCGATGGAGTCCCTGGGAACACTCCTCCTTTATGCACTGTGGGATCACCATCAAGGAGTCGGCCGATGGCTCCAAGGTTTTGGACCATGCCAAATTCTGCGAGACAGTGGAGCAAGTTCCGGTAGACAAGAACAGGGATGACAGTGAAGATGCCACCCCGCAGGAGGTATCTCAACTTCGTGCGCTTCTGGGTGCAGCTCAATGGCGTGCGTACAACAGTGCGCCACAGCACTCAGCTAAGGTTGGTCTACTGCTATCCCAGGTGAGCAAGGCCACAGTTAGGACCATTCGAGAAGCCAACAAGCTGGCTCGGGAAATCCATGGAGCCAGAAACACGTCTGTCCGCATCAACTACCTCCCAGGTGTGCAAGCCGAAGACGTCGTTTTCATATGTTGGTCCGATGCTGCCGTAGCCAACAGAAAAGACTTAACGTCTACAGGGGGACATGTGGTGGCAGCTACATCACCTGACTATGTTACAAGGAGAAGCTTCACCTTTGACCCTGGTTTCTTGGAGGTCACACAAGTTGCAGCGAATTGCAAGATCCTCCTTGTCCGCCGAGATCCAAGCCTTTAGTGAAGGAGAAGAAGAACTGATGTATGTGAGATTGTGCTGGGCTGAACTGTGTGGCCAAAGTGTGGACATGAAAGACATTTCCCCACAGATGCAATCTGTCAGAGGAACCATGGTGACGGATGCAAAATCTCTGTATGACGTGGTTCGGAAGGGATCTCTCAATACTGCTGGTTTGGGATTGAGGGATAAATATTCCACTCTGGAAATGCTCTCTGTCTTGGAACGTCTTGAGCGTGGCCACACTACGACAAGATGGGTTCACAGCGAAGCCCAACTCGCGGATGCTCTGACGAAGCCTCAGGTAACGTCCTCTTTGCACAAAGTGCTTCACGAACATGTTTGGACTTTAGTTTATGATGAAAGATTTGTGTCCAGCAAAAAGCGCAGACAGCAGCAACTTCTCGCATCTTCGCCAAAAGACATTGGGGCGTGTCAAATGCCAGCCCCAGGCTCTTATGCTCTTGAGCCAGTGTACAGTGTCTGCGATGCCCGAAGTCGCTTTTCTGCTGCTGCCATATCCTGCTCAGGATATCCTTTTGCCATGTAGGCTTTTCTGGAAGCTATGGACCGGCTTTGAGCTGGTGAGAAAAAGCTGAGTGCAGCTTTGCCTACAGCATCAGTGCTGTGCGGTGGGAGAGGCATTAGTGCCGTACCTTTTTGAGTCTCAGCTTCCAACCTTGCAGGGTGTACTACCAACGAAAAGCGTCCACTGACGTTCTAGCAACCTAAAAGAGGACAGAATGCGATGGTTCCCCAAGAAAGGTTGAGGTTGGTCTTGGTTGGGTGTGTCCAAAGTCCAATGCCTGGCATGCCGTCGGGCATCCTGGTCTGCTGAGTCTGCTTGCACATGCGATTATGTCCATTCCTTCTCGAAGTGCCTTCTTGTGCTGGATGCAGCACCGTGCCTTTCCCACTCCGCTGAAGCACAAATCCAAAGCTGGTGAGATGCAGAATGATGAAGGTGACATCCTGTTTCTCGTTCAGAGTGGCTGAATGATTTAGCCTTGCTGCTGTGCGTACAGGATCAGCAGACGTCCAAGATGGAAGGCCGTATCGGAAACTGCGAGTCTGGTTGAAGAGTTGCTCTTGGGAACAGGTCGCAGTTCTGGGTTTTATGCTTGCGGGGTATTGTGTCTAGCGAAGTCTGCACACTGCAGATGCTGCAGCCAGCATATCAGATCAGCAACGAGTGCTCAGCTGGACTGGATTTTCTGCCTTCTGTCGCTAGTTTGCATCGGGTATGGGCTGAGTAGATCTGCTCGCTGCTGCTGGTTTGGCAGGTCGAACTTCTGGCGAAAAGCTGGAAGATCAGATGCGCCACTTGTCTCCTGGACGAGTCTCCTCGCCACAGGTTGCCAGCAGGGGCGTGAGGGTGGTGAAGCAGCCAGCTTCACCAGGTGCTGTCAGCGCTGGCAGCCAAGCAGACAGTCGTTGTGACAGCGGTCTTCCTCGAAGGTTTCTTCTCAATCGCACCACCCCGGCCCTTCCAGTCGGAGTTGGTATTTCCTCGACGAAACTGCAGGGCAAGGTGGTTTCAGGGGCTGCTGCTTTTCCTTTTGCAAGGCCTGTGTCACCCATCGCGGCCGTGCCGGCCGGGGCACCAGGCTACATAGGCCAGGCTCAAGCAGGCGTGGCTGTTAGGCGCTAGCGCCGCCGCACCTTCGTGTACCCAAAAGTAGTGACCTTTTTCGTCTGCCGACAGCACGAGTTCCGAAAACACGACTATTCCATCAAAGAAGGCAGGATGTAGGTTGGAAAGAGATGCTGTCGAGGACCGCGACATGTTTGCAGGTTTTGATCACGGAGCGCGTGTTCTTTCTGATGATGCGAAGCATCGTAAGTCGTAAGTATAGATGGCAGGCTTTCCATAAAGTGCAGGATTTTCTCCACTTGGACCGGGAAGCAGGTCAATCCTCCGCAAAGCGGTGTGATCTTTCCATACTGGACATGCTGCTTCCAGAGCAGGTTGGAGACTCGTGTCAAAAGCATCCCTGTTCACAGTCGTCGCTCGAGAGCGTGGCGAGAGAGGAAAAGAACTGAGGGTCCTGCAGTTCAGAAACCGTGTTCGCCGCTTCTGCGTTCTGGGCCCCGCCTCGAGAAGTATGCCAAGCGCCCTTCACGGCACGCTTTCCACCACCATTCTGCGGCCTCTGCGAGGCATTGCAAGGCAGCTCCAAAGCCCCAAGTCTGATCTTGCCCACTTTTTGCGAGACGAGCGCCTCTAGGTCTGCCATGATGGGCAGGAGCGATCGATCTTGAATTGCCTGAAGGAAGCAACGATACCCCTTGTGGCCCAGAGTGAAGCGGGAGAGGTCATAGTCATATTGCAGCCCAGCAGTTCAAGTGCTATATAGTCGCCAAATATCCACGAGCTGCGCAGCAGAATTGCTAAGCAAGCAGACAGATTGCTGCGACGACTCCATGGTGATCTAGTTTTCTGGATTCAAGCCACGTGGGGTGGCTGCTTCGAGTATCATGCAATGGAGGCCTGCAGCTGCGATGACCTTGTTGCTTTCGAATAGGGCCTCATCCAAAAACTCAAAGACGTGGCGTTCCCTGTTGAAGGCAAGGGACGTGTAATACCGTGCAGTTCTAACGACAGCAATCGTGGTGAAACTGGGCAAAAAGCTGCCGGCAGACCCTGCCGACACTACGTGAAAGTCGCAGGGACAGTGTGTGAGACACAGGGTCTGAAACAAGCAGAATTTTCGCCTTCTGTGACTGGTGACAGGGTTCCAAGATTTGCAACGGATCTTCTAGGCATGCTTAATTCCAACCGAGCCCGGAAAGTCTACATGGTGCCTGCGTCTGCAGTCCCTGCCCCTGCGCAAATCAAGCACCCAGTGGCAGGACGAATCGTGTGCCCTGCCAAAACCTCTACTGTAAATGGAACCCTAAGTCGCCCAAGCCGATGCCCAAGCCGTCGAGAACACTTCGGATCTGGCCTACTCGATAACGTGAGATAACACACACGACTGGAATGCTATCTCTGTGACAGAGCCTGCAGGCTGCGGAGATGGACGGAGGCCTCGGAGCTGGCCTCCTGGAAGAGGCATTTCGCAGTCCTGCCGAGGACCCTGGCATGCTGGCATGGGTTTGAACATCTATTCTCGCATATTCGTCATGGACCCTGTATCAGGTATCCTTAGAACGGGCGGGAAGCATTCCATGTCATTTTTCTTGTGCAGTTTAAGAAGGAGAATGTCGGCCCGGCTTACACTGTGGAGTGGGATCACAGCCTAGCCGAGCTGACGCATGCATCCAGGTCGCTCGGTTCTGGCAAAGATGTGGCGTCCGAAACTCCCTGTGTTCTGTTTTGAGGCTGAAGGGCTGAATGGGGGCTCTGCACGGTGTCGATGAAGGAGTTGCTTGAAGAAGGGACTAATCCGAGAACATGAGGATGACGATCGGAACAGTTTTGACCGATGACATGCGTCTCAGGCAAGTAAGTCAATTAAGAGATAGTCCGCATGATTTTTTTTTGTGTGCGTGTGTTTGTATGTGTGTGGAGGTGGTATGGAATGGCAATGTTTGAAAAACTGTTAGATCAGAAGCTGCCCTAAATGTAAACCCTTCGAACACATTGCGGGCCAACATGCGAAACCTTTCGCCCCGCACCTGCTCGTTTGACCTTCCCGCAGTGGATATTTCCTTGCAGGTCACCAATACCTGGCCAAGTGCGGGAAGCCTTTGGCCGTGCACGGCAGCGTGCAAACTGCGGTTTGTTTGCCGAGGGACTGGCCTGGGCATCCTTAGATGACGTGTTGCAGCTTCACTGCAAGATTCTGTTATAAAATGCATTGACCACAGTGTTGGAGTGTTGGACATGCGTCCCGAGGTATTTGTGGGACTACTCGGACATGTCCCCGAGTGTTCACTCGGTCCCGGGCGATTCTGCCATCATCTCGGTTGCGCTGTGCCCTGCCAAATCGGGGATTTTTGAGACTCAGCAGCCGCGCTGGGTGCTGGTAATTGCCACCAGGCTATCAGTAAGCCTTGTTGGTGTGAATTTCGCTCGAAAAGAGATTCGAGCTTCAAGCGTGCCAGATGCCACTCCGGCTAATGTTTCACTGAGCGACTGGACGACTTCAGCCAGAGCTGGGATTCCAGGAGGGCCAGTCAACTCAATCCAAAGCCAAAGCAGCTTACATTTTGTCCCTCTGCAGGGCTTTCGCGCCTTATGTGAGGGTGCTTTATTCCATTCCATTCATTCTTCTCCGGGTGGGCGCATTTTCCTATTGTCTGGCGCACCACACATCTATGAGCTCTTGTGCTCACAAGCTGGCTGGTATCGTGCAAAGTGCAGACTGGTACGACATTGTGTGGGACCAGGCTGGGAGTTATTTTGGGAAAGGGTCCGGCAGGGGACATGAAGGGATCACATCCACTCCGTGGTTGCCTCCGCAAGGCTGGTGGAAGAGTCCGAAGCCTGGCCGCCTGCGGCTGCTATCCTGTGGTCCTGCAGGCACGTAGAATCAAGACTGTTCGTGGTAGCATGTTCAGCGCATTTGCAGTTTTCTTTGCTGATGCTGGGGAAAGGCCATATTCTTACATGCGATGATGTCGGAACTCTACGACTGTGCTGGGCGATGGATCAGATTGGAGGCAGCATGCCCGTGCTGCGCCATGCAGTCGTAGAAGCCGTGTGCATTCTTGTAGCTAAGCTGCCTGCGTGCATTTTCCAGGTTCTTCCACTCTGGAAGAGCTGGCCTCGCTATCTGCAGTGGCTCTGCGTGAGCAGGTCCGAGCCATCACTCAAGGTGCGATCACCTGTGCATATGGCGTCCTCTACATTATTCCATATCTCTGTCGCAGGGCCGCCCGAAGCCTGATACCAGACCCAAGTCTCCTATTCCTGTGTGTGAACGGTAGGCCGGTTGCATGTCGCTCCGGCATTGGACTTCGCATCCATTTCAAGCAGACCGTCTGTTCAGGGAACTTGATTTCACGAGCTCTTACGAAGAACAAGCAAGGGACGTTCTTTGGCTGGCGAGGGGTCTCGCGAAATCAGATTTCGACTGGGTCGAGTATACTAATTCAACAGCAGCGGCTTCTTCTGCTCAACCGAACTCTGCACCGCTCCAAGCCAACACTGCAAGCACAACTATTTCTGAAACATGCTTAGTGCTCCGTTCGCAGGTTCTTTGGCATCCTTCACGCTGACGCACTTGTTCTGCTGGATGGGTGGCCGTCTCATGCGAGTAAGAACTTGCCGCGATGTTCCGCTTTCCGTAACCGGGCAGTTCATGGCCGTCGCCCAGACATGTGAAAGATGAGGTGCGACTGGCCAGCTTCTCCTGGATGCCACGACCATTGCCGGGGAGCGACTACATTTTGCAGCAAACTCAATCACCCCGAATCAAGTACGCAACGCACGAACGCATCTTTCATTGTCCATGAACGTGTGCACATATGCATTCATGCATGCATGGATGCCTTCTGAGATTCGGTCAGGTCTGCTCTGTGGAAGGCGGGCCATGGGCAGCAGGGGACCGTGACAGGGCAACGGTTTTGAGATATCCTCCTGAGCGGAAGGTTCGACTCGACGAAAGTATGGCTTCTGGCGCGAATCCTTAGATCGCTCGTGACGCAAAATTGAATACCGCATTGGCAGACTGTGAAGATATGCAGGCTTCAACATCTTGCCAGCTCTTGGTCATCACGTCCAAGCTGTGCTGAAAGCCATGAGAGACGTGTGCGGAGCTCCTGTTTGGAGGACCATTGCAGCTTCAGCTTTGCAGGATCTTACATGCATCGTAGAACAGCAGTGGGCTAGGCATCGGTGTCGTCGTGCTCCATCTGTAAGTGCTTTGCAGACTCCGTCGGGTGGCTCGCATGCGGGCTCAGTTCCAGCTCCCGACACGCCACAGCTGACATGATGCGGTCACGAGAACGGCAACACACGATGCTACCAGGAGCATCCGGACCCATGCTTTTTCGCACCTGGTGCTGATGGTCCCCGAGCTTGATTTGATCAGACGAGACATTGAAAGTGAGGGTTCTCAAAGTCTGCAAAGGAGAACGGAACCTTCCGAGGTGCTTCGACACTGGGCTCCGTTTGGCTATGTGCAGCCTTGCGAAGGGCCGGCGCATCAGCATCAGATCTCGCTGTGTGCCAAACTCGGTGGTGTTCCGAAAGTGCACGCAGCTCGTTGGCTGCCATTTTCTCTTCAGGTCGATTCGACTGAATGGCGTGCCGCACGACCACTTTCAGCCTTTGAGCCCGGGGCACGATCAAGAGCTGCACTGCACTGAACTGCGAAACTGTGCGAATCTCACGTACTCTAACAGAGGTCCCAAGCAGGCAGTGGAGATGCAGGCGTGGCTTGATCAGCTTGTAGGCCCATACTGTAGTCCATAGCTTTGCAGCGCTACTTTCGCCAAGAGTCTTTGTGCATGCGCTATTCAGAATGGCAGCAAGCTGCATGAAGCGGCAGCAACAGCCAAAATCGAGTCCACGCTGAACGTGTCTAGAGCTGTGAAGATCCCTCTGGGCAAAGTCCTGCTCCCGTGCGTTAGTTGACACTCCAAAATGCATAATGTGGCGTCATGCCAGCATTAGCCAGTGGAGGCTTACGGACCGGTTGATTAGCTGGAGCGTTGGACGCAGGGTCCATGGAAAGCCGAGCTTCCAAGTATGATCCCGAACAGAAGAGAGACAATAAAAGACAAGACAAGAAGAGTGACAAAGAGTGGACATTCACAACACGGAGTTCTCAATGCTGCTGACTGCTTCATGTTGTGGCCCTGGTCTGGTCAGGGTATGCTCAGTTTTGATGCTCCAGTGCTGGCCATTGCTCAAGAACAATCACAACCTACATGCCGGGGGCATACGATGGACTTCGGTCAGCAGGCCTCAGGAAATGAGTCCGTGACATGCATGTTGAAGATCAGAGATCAGGCCAGAAATTCGCTGTCCTCCTGGCTGACCGTGTACAGACAGTGACCATTGCGCACCAGGCAAGGGTCTTCGACAACTCTAGGGCCTAGGGCCGGGTGCGGAAGGGAAGAACGGGCTTCACTTCCAGGCATCGGCAGCGAAGAGAGCCCCGGCTGAAGCAGCGGAATGTTGCCTCTTCCTTCAGTCCTTGACTTCCGGAGCACCTGGTGGAGCCACAGGCGCTTAGCCTTCAATTAGCAACTTAGCATAGACGTTCTTTCTTTTTTCACTAGAGCCTGACGCCGGCGAGGCAGCCGGATCCAGTACGTGTCGCTCTTAGTCTGGCACTGGGTTCGGTGGGATCTCGAGTTTCTGGCCAAGGGATTGCACAGTGCAAGGACTGGTGCTGGAGCCTAGACGACGCCCGGTTCCCGACCTTTGAGGAGCAGCGACGTGCGCAACTACTGAACCAGGCTGCCAGAGCCCCGTGACTATGCAGATTCGAACGGTACTGCATGTGCGAGGATGCAAAGAGAGTCACTATTTGTCGTTTCGCCAGCAATTGCCAGAACATTGCATGACTCGCATGATCATGCAGCATGCTCACTTTGAGCTTTCTGTCCTCCTTTTGTACGTGGCTGCATGTCTCTCCCGGCCACCTGACGAAGTACGGCAGTGTGCGACAACGTAAAATTCTGATGCTTACGAAATGTTGCAGGTAATTCGATAAACATCGAAGTTGCTTGCAGTCCGCAGTTAGGTTTCTGGTGAGAAACAGACCCCGCCTAAACATCCCAGCGTTCAAGCCCCAACCGAGTGAAAGTACGCGTGCAGCCGCGCAGCCACGCAGCCACACAGCCACCCGGCCACACCCACACCCACATCCACACCCACATCCGCACCCACACGACTGCGCACACACCCACAGCCACACCCACACCCACACAAACAGCCACAGCCACACCCACACAAACAGCCACAGCCACAACCACACCCACATCCGCACCCAACCCCACACCCACGCCCACGCCCACGCTCACCCGCACACCCACACGTCTAGGCCCACACCCACACCCACACCCACACGTCTACACCCACACCCGCACCCACACCAACACCCGCACCCACACACCTGTGGCCACGCCCACAATGGCACACTGAAAACTCTTACCACACAAGGGAACCCATTGTTCGTCCTTCAACACCTCACAACTCAGAGCAAACACCTCTTTCGTGACTCGTCTTCGCCGGCGAGAAGGCAACCAGCTGCAGGACCGTGTCTGCACCTGCGTTGTCGAAGTGAGAGGAAGTTAAAACGACATCGAGTTGGCCTAACCATGCCTAACCTACCTACAAGATATTATTCCCTTTTCAGCTTTCGCAAGCACTTGCTTTCTCGCACAAGCCGTCACTACCAGTAAAGCTTCTGCAGCACACCATGCATGGCATTGCGCTCGAAGTTTCGGGATGGCCACGAGTTGAGAGAACTCATGAAGTTGAGTGAGAAGCATCGAGAAGCAGAGTCGCTCACCAGTCAAAGCGAGGTTCCAAAGATGATCTTGGGTGCGCTGCTTAAGAAAGGTGCTTTATGTGCCTGGGATCCTTTGCTGTTGGGCCGTGAGCTTCCGTGTTCCTTCAGAGGTCGCTGGCCTTCGGGACTTCTGCGTTTTCTGTCGGAGACGCTGCGCAGCGTTTGGACTCGGCCCCTGCTCTTGACACCAGCAGGGAGCCTCAGAGAGACGCACTTCGAAAAGATCGAACGTGGCTTCCTCTCATGGCAGGCCCGTGTCGTGGAGGTCCCTTCGCTGCCGCTCAGCCTGTGCCGTAAGAGACGAAGGACCGGTGACAAAGGGTGCCACAGTTCCGCACATCCGCACGTGCATATGCGTGCATGGGAGCATTGAATCAGCATAACTCAGCCATGAGCGTGCCTTCTTTGCAGGTGCGCTTCGCCCCCGGTTGTCGCGATCAGTTCGGGTCCCTGTCAAGCTATGCTGAGTGCGCGGGATGCACAAAATCGGCTCGTAGTAAGGTGAATTGGCCGCGAGAAAAATCTTCTCGCAGCTTGAGCCAGTGATCCATTTCGTGGCAAAGGCGGCTGTCGTGAAATGAATGAACTGGCACGGATCGCTTGCAATGTGTCATCAGTCATGAACATCGGGAGCCACCGCCAGGGGCTGGCGCACAACGCCGAAGAACAGGCAAGTCGAAGGGTACCGACTGCATGTGAATGAGGTGTTGCGGTTGCTTTTGTTTGTCCTGTTGATGGGCAGGTGCCGTTCGGCACACCCTGCTCAGCAGTGATGCGTGCGCAGCTCTACGTGAAGCGTACTGAGGCGGACTGGAGCAGAAGCGCACGCTTCGTTCCCTGAAGACACTGAACATACATTGTCGTGTCAAGTACGCTCCGATGTCGCAGAATGCAAGCTTCTTGAAGGACTACTGTCGCTTCTGTTATCCAGCTATGTTGAGCTCAGACGGAATTATCATTGCGCGTGGAGCGGGCCTCCATCCACCCCCGTTTAAGCAGATCATACCAGTTTGTGAAATCTCTAGCTATGTGCTATGCTGCGATACAGCTCCTACACTCTGTTGCGGTTTGGACTTCGCCTCAGTGTCTTGCTTTGCTATGACGTGATGTATGAACTTACTCCTGCACTCCGTGATTCCTACAGGGGCATGATTGCGGAGCGGCTTAGCGAATTCAGCAAGCTTCGAGCATTCTGCGAGGCTGCGCACGCACCGTCCAGCTGCGACTCAGCACAAGCGCGTGTGAGAAGGCACACGGGCAAGATTTGAAGAGTACTGGTATATCACATCTGGTATATTGCACAAGGCAAAAAGGATCGAGCATTCAGCCGGTCAAACGTGCCCTAGCAAGACAACCCCAAAACAAGTTGACCGCACTAGCCACCGGCCTATTTGCATCGAAGCAAACTGTTTTGTAACTGTCCAGGTTCTCACATCGACAGTATTAAATTCTGTGCCGAAAGCACCATAAGAGGGAACGTTGATCCCCATCATACTAAGAAAATGAACCGCTAAGTCATGACACGTGACTTGTTTTCAAGTTTTTGCGAGCACAATAGTCCAGCGGCAGCGGTCACATTTCGCAGTGTGTGAGCATCGTCCGTTCAGTCTGACAAAATGAAGCTTCGCCCACTCTTCAGCAGGTTCACTTTCGGAAAATACGTTGGGATATGTAAGAGCAGTTAGACCGTGTAGGGCAATAGAAGCAGACATATCACATGCATCAAGCTGACGAAAGACATCGCTTCTAGAGCAACTAGTTACCAGGAGGTACTCTCAGAATCGGAAGCGCAGCATTACTGAATGTACCTGCGAGCTTGGAACCCTTCGTTCAACAATGGATCCGAGAATGGGCAGTATCTGAAAGAAAAAGAAACCCAGGATGCGGGACAGAGTGCAAGCAGCAAGGCTCAACAACAGAAGTGGGAGCTTGTGTTTAGTTCGAGACATGCATACTGGTATAGTAATATAGACGACTTGGACCCCGGAAAATCTCGGATCTCGAAAATGTATGACCATGAGCTTGTGATCATGACAAAACCTCTTTGCTGGGTCCCGACAGTCTTCACCTTCGGTCTCTGGGACGAAAGGATTCCAAGCCCTTCTGCTGCTGGCCCGGCCTCTCCGACTGTGAACGTAGCACTGTTGAGGCTCGACATGGCGGCAGTATCCTAGTGATGAGGATAACGATGCAGGTGATTTTGACGAGGATGACAATGAGCATGTTCAAACTCAGGACATGGATGAGAATGAAACTCTCTCATGGGCTGTCGGTTGTTCGGGCACCATCTGTCCTCGAGATAGCTTCTCTCTTGCTAGGGGAATCCGCAGGTGGCACTAGGGCCTGAGGTGGGGAGCATCTCCTCATCTCGGGCCGAAGAGCTCTTCCATCAGCAAATCTGGACCAGCGCGGAGTGACATTGCCATCATCCCACACCAACTACGAGGAGGCCCCGACTTCCACGATCCATGCAGCTTATGGACCCACGAAATTGCAGGGATGGAGATTACTCCGGTTGCCACCCTCGCCGGTAGGGTCTCCAGGATTGCCACCGGAAACAACACTTCTACCACTCCCACTTCCACGGCTCTTGTCTCGTCGTCATTTCGTGCTGTTGGTTCTTGTTGATTGTTGTTGTTCGTTGTGTTGCAGGGGCTGGCTCTTTGGGCTTTGCGTCGAAGAGGCCGCATTTTTGTTAGGCCAGGCTCGTGCCGCGGTCAATGCTCACCTCACCTCACTTCACCTCACCCCACCTCACTTCACCTCACTTCACCTCACTTCACCTCACCTCACGTCACTTCACGTCACCTTCACGTCACTTCACCTCACTTCTTGGCACTTGACCTCGCTTCACCTCACTTCACTTCACCTCATTTCACCGCACTTCACCTCCCTTCACTTCACCTCACTTCACTTCACCTCACTTCACCTCAGCTCAGCTCACCTCACCTCACGACCGTGATTGGCACTTTTGCTTCCTGGCACGGTGGTGCAGCCGCACTCCTGCCTCCTTCAGCGTGGCTTTGTGCCCGATCCGCATCCGTCGTGATGATAATAGACCTGATGACGACGATCCAGCCCGCGCAGTGCTGCCCGGGCAGTCTCTGGGAAGTGGAGTTTGGAATACTAAGTGTGGTGGAGCATCGGTTTGAAGCGTCAACCAACCGAGTGTCAGTTTCTCCGCTGTCCTGTTTGGAAAGTTTGCTTCCAATCGCATGTGGAGCTGTCCTGGCAGTGCAGTGCTGCTGCGGTCTAAGATATCAATTGCCGGCCATTCGACGATAGCCCACTGAACCCCATCGCAGTCCTTGCAGCCAGCGAGCACAGTGCGGGAAGTGGCGCTGCAAACGACAGAAGAGTCGGGCATGGAGGAACCGAGACTATCTGTGGATACTCCCCGCAGAGGCATAGCATGTGCACTGCGTGTCCATGTTTCAGACACATGCCACACCCGGCGAGACTCTCTCCGTCGTTGTCGGAGGCGGGATGATGATGGTGATAATGGTGATGGTTGATGTTATTGCATCATGCAGGCTGGTTGGGTAGGGCTGATGCATATACATGCACGCTCTATACACCCAGCTGTCTCCTGCTTTTGGATCCTGCCTTATCCCGACCCTGAAAGTAGTGACTGACAGGATGGACCTGTCGCTCGTATGAGCTCCTTATTATTTTCGGAGAGGGAGGATCTCAAGCTGGTACGTCCTCACCAGTGGTGGGCCACTTGTACACCGACGACCTAGACACCCTATATGTTGATGACGATGCGTGAAACTCTAAGAACTGGTTTCGTGGTCTCAAGCGTCAGTCCTTCTTCCGAAAATCTGATGTCTAGTTGGCAGAACCCAACTGTTGGGACTATTTTAAAGGAAATTGCAGGGTGAGGATCAGAACATGTCTGAAACGGACATGCAGTGGCTGTCGGTACTAGACAATCACGGGTGAGCTTTCGGTGCAATTCTGAGCGTCTTCTGATTCTGCGGCTTCCCTCTTCACTTACAATAGTTGGTTGCCAAGAGGCATTGAGCATGCCAGTCGTGTTGCTCTTCTATGCCTGGACGAAACATGCGCAACCATATCTTCATGTTCTGTTTTGGGCTTCCAGTTGTGGCCTTTGGTACTGCCGGCAAATAGTTTGCATTGGTATCTGGAACGTTTGATGTTGGGCATTATAATCTCGTTGTCTGGCATCGTTATGAAGTTAGAGCTATGCAGTCTTGAAAAGGCATTAAATTCAAGGGCTGGACTCACATGTCCATCTATGTGGATTTGTAAAGTGTGCCATAAAGCCGAAAACGATTTTCGAGAGCCTTCCTTCCGAGTTACTTCAGCCCATAAAAGCGTGCGGAAACAACACGTGTTTCCCGAGGCTTATGACGGTTTGAGTGTGCAGCGGGCCATTTGAGCAGCCACGTCTCTTGCAGATACTTTTTTGTGAGGACGTGTCGAATGCAAGCAACCGCCACTGTTGCAGTAGTGTCGAGTGTTCGCCTTCAGACCAGGGCAATGCTGGAGCTTTTGGATGTGATGGATCGAACTCGGCAAATTCTTGGCCTGATCTTGATACTGCACAAGTCGGGATGCGCGGCCCCTAGTGAACTCTGTTTTGTTGCCCTTGCTCGGTAAATCGCCACGGCTGTTGCCAGGCACGCAAGCTGTATTGGAAAGTGCACCGCTGCAAGAGCATGACCCAGCATCTGCTCCTCCAGGGTGCGGTGCCCGTGTTGGAGTTGTCAGTATGACTGCAGAGAGGGATGGATTCGGCACCGTATGAAGGGTGGCAGAACCGGCAGATGCGCTGGCCCCAGTCCTGGCAGTCCTGGCAGTCCTGGCCATGGCTTGTTTTCACTCTCGTCCAAGGTCTTGTTGCCGAGCGCTGCATCTTTGCTGCTCAGCCGATCCTTGCGAGACCTGGTGCTGTCTCCAGTCGCACTCTGGCCTGCTGTCCAAAGCCCAGTGAGTTGTTGATGCGATTTCACACAGTGCTTTGATTCCGGTCTCGCGCGCCGGACCGAAGTGGGTCATGCAGCACTCCAAACAAGACACGAGATCAAAGTCTCCAAACGTGCAGGTTCAACTATGCACTGCTCTGGTGATGCAGGCAGGAAAGACTGCTTTTTCATCATCGCATGGGACGAGACAGTTGCAATGAATCGTGGTGTTTGTGCAGGCAGTGCAAGGGAATGCAGATGAGTCTCCAGAACAAGAAGGTCTGGGTGCGACATTTGCCTGGGGAGCGAGAGTGTAAGCTGGCAGCTGAACTATTTGGGCAGTCATGTTCTGTTTATCTCTAGCTTCTCTAGATGTTTAGTGACTTGCCAGGCTTTGGCCGTTCAGCTGTGGGACTTCCACGCCATGTAGAAGCGGACAGCATATGCAAAGAGCTACAGGACGGATGTGGGCAGCCACACTTCGATGTTTTTTAAAATTGAGTTTTGGGCAACACCGCGCGCAACCATGCATGTCGCTGCAGTGTTGCAGGGTTCATCTGGCATGGCCCCATAGAAGCCTCCATGTACATGGCCAGGGTCATAGTGGCTGTGTTGGTTCAATACATGGACAGACTTCTTTGCCTTGCGACTTGAACTGCTCAAAGCGATCTTGCTTGTTTGTCGAGACGCAACGAGCCTTGTTGACCATCAGTGGCTGGGTTGCTGCAGAAAGCTTTGCGAGTTACCGATCAGCTATCTGCAAGTGAATGGTCAGAGTTGTTCTACTCGCGGTTGGTCTCGGCCGGACTGCCCCAGGCATGGCGGACCAAAGCATACCTCCTGCAGAGCTGAAGCAGCGACGAAATAGTTTGAATGAGTCGAGGCATGGAGACACGCTCAGAACGTTCTTGCAGCATGAAGCACGAGTCTTGCCAGTTGTTTTACTGTCAGGTTGAAGACTGCGCGCCTGTCCGTCGCCGGTAAATCGCATACTCCTCGTCCAGAGCGGAGTCAAGGCAGGTCTCTGGGGCTTGTCGGCTGTATTCCAAGACTTCATCGCCATTCGCCATGAGTCTGGCACAAGTGACCTTCAGGACGGACCAAGCGTCAGTTGGACAAGCGACCAGTTTTGTGCCTTGACAAAGAGAGAAGGGCCCCTTGCTGTCACACATGATTCAACACAATCCGGCAGAATTAAGCCATTCCAAGTCCGCAGTGGGCTTGCAATCTGCGCCTTGACGCGCACTTGACCGTTCATTTGTAGGCGGCTGCTGGCAGAACTTGCTCCCGCACTCAAAGAAGAGAGAAGTATCCTGGCAAGTTTGTCTGGGCTGAAGAAGGCTCCGTTTGCAGCCAGAGCACATGTCCAAGATGTGACGGACTTTCTTCTACACTGAGCTCAACCACGTCTTTCGCCAGGTACCGCCGACAGTGCATCTGATGCCTCTTGGCTTTTTCCTTCAATTCACCTCCGTGTGCCCCAGCCTCTGTAACCCCGCTTCGTGCAATTTCCAATTGAGGTCTGACCAGGGTTCGGGTTTGGTTCAGGGCGATCTGGTGCTAGGCGTGTCGATTCTGCGGAAGCTCCTGGACATAGAATCCCGACATCTGTGAGTTGAATCCACGAGTGTGAAGGTCTTCTGGCTTGCTCTGGCAGTGGCAACCACATCCTTGGTGTTTGTACGACGCGACGATGGTGTTTTGGCGACTTGGCAGCGAGGAGATGGGTATGCATGCCCGGAGTATCACGAGCAAGTGCTACAAGCCCGAGAGTCATTCATTTAACGAGGATCCACAAACAGGGCAGAATAATTGTGAATGCTTCGCATCGTCCGCCTCGGCTCGGTCAGGTGAAGAGTAGAGTGCACAAGAGGACAAAATGCAGGCGGGGGGTGGGCGCTTGGGTACTGGGTTGAAGGGTGGGAGGAAAGCCTTTTTTGTTTTGTTTTTTTTTTTTGAGCCAATCAGGGGGTTGACTTATCAGGACACTTTCCGCTGTCAGGATCTTGGTCGTGGGGGCTTGGAAGCCGAAGTCCATTTTTGTGGGGGGGATGGGTGGCCTTCCGTAGTGTGATGTGTTGCAGGTCATTGCAAGATATTGCAAGAAACCGAACACCGACATCAAAGTTCCGTCCGCAGTTATGCCAGCCATGAAGTTGCGTGGCAAATGTGCCTTGTTGTTGACATCGACCGCAAAGGTGTAACACAGATCTGATTCGCAAAGACCGTCTGCTTACTCCCCAGCGCGAAGCTGCTCGGTGACCACGAGGTCACCCCTTGTCCGAAGAGCGACGCGCGGCTTCGGTCGGAGCCGTCAAGATGCATGGCTCCATTACGACGCAAAGAACGGGTCCAGAATGGATTGCTGCGCATTTTTTGCCAAGACTTCGTGCCACCTTGAGTAGGGCGCTGACTGGTGTGCCCACGAGTGGTACATCCGTCCCACAGGAAGCAGTGCCCACATGAATCCAACATCAATCAGGATCATCACCGATGCTGTCTCCAGTCTGCGCAGTTGTGTGCATCCTTGCAGATGCCGCCGCTACATAGACGACATGACCCAAGCCCAATCTGGAATTCGTCGAGGGCGTGCCACTGGAGCTCGCCGCATACAAGTCAATGTGAGAGTCAATGAGTACAGGGAGTAGCAGAAGTAGGGAGCCAGAAAACCGTATAGCGAGAGCATGTGGCGGCTTTTTGTTTTTGTGTTTTTCCTTGTGCGTGTGTGTGTGTGCATGTGTATGTTTGTCTGTCTGTTTGCGGGACACTGTACATGTGGGGAAGACTTCTACTGGAGCTGCCGACCCTGATTCTTAGAACAGAAGCATGCAGGCAGGGTGCCAGGGATGCATGCTGGACTGGCACCAAAAAATATGCCAGCCAGCATGAATCGAGGTAGTTCACCTGCAAGTCGTAGCTTGTGATCTCTTGATCGTTTGAGCATGTTTGAGCCCTTGCAGCCAGGGTAACCCTGTGTGGCTGGGTGAGGTGCATGCTAGCGAGCTTGCCAAAGCCTCATAGAACACGCAGGATCTGCACGAGATGCAAAGAATTCAGGTGCCATGTTGAGACCGGCCCAGAGAGCCAAGAGAACCCGAGAATCTGAGGATTCGATCCTTGGTGCTGCGCTGCTCTTCGTCTTCTGGTACATCGGTCAGTGCGGTGGCAGATTTCTTGCCCAGAACTGGAAGTACTTGCCCATCCCTTCTGCAGCGGATGTCACCACTTTCGCCGTCCTCTCAGCCTTGAGGCCTTCTGACGAGCGTGTGATGAGTGTGAGGTATCGCAGGCTTGTGCTATCGGGTTGTCCAAGATGAGATGAGGCCCCAAGCAAGTTTAGATAAATAGTTGCTCATTGAAAGCAGTCTAGCTTGGCCAGCGTTGGCGTAGTCAAAGCAGGACAGCGGTTTGTCGTGGGGAGATTAACGCGCAACAGCATGTCGAGCGCGGTCCAGGCTGTGGCCCCCAAAATGACAAGTAAGCCGAGCACGGTGCAATCGTCTAGAAATTACACTTTTTGCGGCCTGGTCTCGGACATTTGAGCTGACAAGTTCAGACACTTTGCCCATGACAACAGGGAAAGAACAGAGCGAAGGATGTCGGCATCTCCGAATTGGGCACAGCCAAGGAAGGAGCAGGGACAAGGGACAAGACAACGCCGTTTGGAGTTGTAGAGTTTTGACCAGTTTGCCAGCCCTCGGATCCTCCTCCAAGCTGCACGAAACTGTGAGCATGCACTTTGATGCAATGGGTCTTCAGGTCATCTGTGGAAGGCTTGGGAGGACCAGTGGCAAGCGTCTTCTTCTTGGCCTGGGAGCGCTCGCCACGCTTCTCGGCGTGCACTGCTCTTCGCTTCTCGCAGAATTTGTTGTCTCACGACTTGGACAGTAGTCTTGTCCGTTCCAATCTCCGCATTTCAAGAGCCGAGCTTCCAATGTCCAACACTGGATTTGCATGCTAAGGGAGCACAGACGATGCTCAGACTCTTGGCGCCAGGGATCTAGTTTCGTGGCATACGCGCAAACATGCATGTTCAGCATGTCATTCAGCGAAAAAACTTGTCGAATCCGAGGGATGTGAAACCACAGCCTTTACAGCACGTCGATGTTAAAGTTGTTGAGGTGCTTCGAGAGAAAGTCAGATACTCGATAGCTTCGAACTGAGATGCGCGGCAAGCTGCAACCCTTTACCGTGGCAGCAAAAAGGGGTTGGTGTTACAAGGGCAGGAGCGTGGTGCTGGAAGACGACGTGAACAGTGCAGTCTGTTCCGGGTGCAGACGAAGCCCTGTGGTTTGGACTGGTTCACAAAGCATCTGGTCACAGCAGACCAATCGGAACTAGCATTCCAGGACAGAAGCTGAAGGTTACAGAGGCTGACGTAGAGAACCTGAGGATGAAACTCCCACAACTGAACCAGCGAAACCCGTCTTTTGAATGACTTGCTCGAGAGCTGTAACAGCTGTGTTTCGGTCTACCGTAGAGGTTGGTTCTTGGAGTTGATGCTCTTTCTGTTGCGAGGTTGCATTCATGTTGCCAGCATGATTTCATGCTTCGCGCATCCGGTTGATAGAGCCTGGTGTCTCATGCACACTTACGACTTAAGCCCTGGATCTCGTTTAGCACGGAATGAACTCTGCTGAATTTCGGACTGATTTGTTTCCGCTTGGTGCGCGACGCTGGAGGGGAAATGGGTTCGTTTGACTGATTTGCTTGGGCTCCTTTAGACAAGCCTTCCAAAAAACCCGGTAAAAGTATGGCATCTGGTTCATGATGGAAGCCTGGCTTGCAGCATCCGCAAATCGACGTACGTGGAGTCGAAATGGCAACAAAAATGAAGACGCCAAACAAACTTAGACAGCTAGTTGAGAAGAGGCAAGTCACCCGAAAGGAATACACTTGTGAGCCAATGACCACTCGCTTTCTGGAACGTTGTTTAGTTGGGTTGAAGTCATCTCAGGGGCTTCTGGCTGCGCTGGGTGCCAGCACTCCGTGATGCTTCGATGCTGCTGTTGCTGGCTCACGTGCTGCGTGCTGGCGCAACTGCTGCCGAGCTTCTGTACCTCTGCTGGATTTTCTTCGATTGGAGTGTCCAAGGTGTGGCGGTTTCATGTACTTGTGGTCATGTGGCTGTTTACGCGATCGAAGATAGCGGCCTCCAAAGCTCGCATGGTAATTCGCGAGGGACTTGAAGGCTCGTTGGGATTCGCATTGGCGTTTGCAACATGGGCTTGTTCAAAGTGGAAGGTACAGCAGCCGGATCCTCACGACACAACGGTCAGAATTGTGGCAAAACACCCGTGAGCGGCGGGTGCTTGCAGTATTGAGGCTCGGTGCTGGTTCCTTTGCAATTGTGTTCTTCGTACAGAACGATAGTGAATATGGTGATTGTGCTGTAGACAGCCATGGTGATGCTGATGTAGATGGTGGTGATGGTGTTGACGATTTTGACGGTGGTGCTACTGATGATGACAATGGTGATGTTGATGCTACAACTGCCTGCCCTTGCTTTTCATCAAAGTGACGACGACGGTGACAGTGATGTGATGGTGGTCATGACAATTATGGTGATGATGACGACGACGATGATGATGATTGCTGATGCTGCCGCCGCCGCCATCGTCGTCGTCGTCGTCGTTGTTGTTGTTGATGTTGTCGATGTGGTTGACTGTTTGACAGATTCATTGGTTGATTGTTGCTGTTTGTCGGTTGGCTGATTGTTTGTGGTTGGGTTGTTGGTCGTGGTCAGTTTGCCAGTATTTGTCAAGACTTGGGTCACATGCAACTGTCAGGGGTGCTGTCGAGAAGCAAAGCAGTGAAGAAGCACCTTGACCGCATTTGAACGCCTTGATGCTTCAGCAAGATGTTTATTTTGCAGGTTTCTCGTTGTGGCGTCCACAATCTAATCAAGTTCGCCAAAGATTGATCGTCGTGTGACTTCCGAGCGAATTGGAACCATGTGATTTCTCCTCCGCAGAAGCCCGACGAGAAGTCTCTGCTGGACTTGGACGACTCTGTGCCGTTGGCCTTCGAGCGCGCGTGTGCCGAGCTCATCGCTTCCGGGAGTCCAGGCATGGAATGTTGACAAGCGCTTGCCATGCATCAGCCATAGCATGACAGAAGGTCTGTACAGAAGTGCAAGAATGGAGAAGAAACAGGCGGTTTCACGATGTGTCATTACATTGCTATGTTGTATGTCGTCTTGAAGCATGATTGGTGTCTACGTTGTGTCAAGTTGCACTGGGCGTCGACGTGTGTCCTGGATTGCTGCCTTCCTTGCTGACAACTACTTTGTCCACCTAGACTTGTCGTCAAAAGTCGCAACATGATAGTTCCCGCATGTTGGCGAGTTGTTAGCTCTCGAAGGCTCTGAGCTATGGCTGAGCTTGGCCTCTTTGGCCGAAGAGGAGGACTGAGCGCCGTGAGAAAGCCATTGCAAACAGATGCTGTTTGAGTGACCGGTGAGCTCGTGCGGTAGGATGAAGACAGCGACGACTTCGCAGAATTCCGAATGAAGCGCGAGACTAGTGGCTCCAGTTCCTTGACACTTGCAGCTGCCGAACTTGCTTGTCTGTAAGTGCAGAAGCTGCATTGTGTAAATCTTCAGTTGCGATCTCGAAGCTGCAGCTTCCCTCTCAAGTCCCGTGACTTCTGACAGGTGCTCAGGATGTTTTCAAGGTGGACGGGGTGGTGCTTGAGCCGGAGCCATTCAGCTGCATGGATCCCTTCTGCCATGCTTTCTGATTCGAAAATTGAAACAGCAATGTCCCAAACTCTCCAATACAGCTAAGTCTGTTTCCATCGTCACGGGCTGACACTGTTCCCGATGGCTGAAGAAGGTCATTGTCATAGCGCATAGCTGTACAGAGTTTCGAGCAAAATAACAACTCAGAGTGGCATGTGCCACAAAGGGACAGCTGGACGAGAACACGCTCTCCTCTTGTGCAGGCATGTGGCTGCTGGCGCTCGTGCTTTGTACCGAAAGCTGGCACCACATGGACGGCTGAATTTCGACAAGCACCTTGCAGGAAGGAACCCGCTCTTTGCAGTTATGCTTAAAGTGTCGGTTCAACATTGACTCAACGTGCTTCTTAGAGGCTTGCCCCATGGGTTTTCCGGGAGCAAACTAGGTTCCGGACTTCGGTTTCGGAGCTGGATTTGGAGTTTGTTTGAGGGGTGGGGGTGGGGGGTTGGCGGGGGGGAGCGATGACGACATGATGCCGGCATGATGACGATGATGATGATGATGATGATGACGACGATGCCGACATGGTGATGATGACGACATGCTGACGACGACATGTTGCTGCCGACATCATGAAGATGCCGTTAGGATGACGACATGTTGATGGCTGTCGGGATCGAGCGTTTTTAGGGAGGCGTACGAAGTACGGAGTGCTGCAAATACCAGCGAATTCGCTCCCGTGTTGCAAATTCAGCATGAAACCTAGCTAGGGCTCTCGTGATGTACAGAGTACTAACTCACACAAGCCAACACCTCGAGTTTTTCCATGTTTCTTCGTTCTGATCATGCAAAACTCTGCTTTGTAACATCTGCGTGCACGTACTTCAAGCTAACAGAACGTGCAAAGACAACATGTTCCGGGTAATGTGGCCTTGTTGAGTAAGTCCAAACACCTGGCTATTTGCCGTGCTTTCGAGCTCTTGCAACATCCTCTGTTGTACTACGTCTTGGTCTCCGGGAAACCACCAAGATCTTGCCTTTTAAGATTTTTTTCGGCTGTTCGCTGGTGATGTCGCCTTCATCGATTGACCTATGTTGTGAAGCCATTGCCAGCCTGCTTGTTGTGCCAAGGCTGCACACGGTCATCGAGAATGACATTGCCTCTGCGATGCAGCTTGCGAACAGGGCGGTTCGAGGGATTCAACAAGCTGTCTGGAATGCGTCCATCCAAAGGCGGTGGAGTTCTGAATCAGCTTGGTTCTTCAGAAGCTGATGGTGTTGATGTAGGCTTCAGGTTCTTTACCGGCTGATATCGTAGTAAACCCGAAGAAAGAGGAGGAAGCATCCCGTACTTAGCCTGTGCATCTCCAAGGAAACCGATCGCCTGTGGGCATTGCTACAGGCACTGGATGAAGAGAGTGAAGTAGCTTCTTCAGCTGCAGGCAGACTTCTAGCGGCTTGCAGATGAGCTAGGACGTCGCAATTGCCAAGGCTGTGAAAAACACCGGCAAGACGGTCATGGAGAGATCCAGCTCCATGCCGTTGGATGCCTCGGTGTCGTGGTCAACAGCATTGCTTGCAGCAGAACCATTGTAAGCCTGAAGGCACAGTACAAAAGCTTGACCACGCATACAGTTGCTCTCTGTAGCATTCAGGTTGCGAGGTCGGGTTTAAGCACTCGCTTCTGACCTGGTCATCTACATGTCTGCCAAGGAAAGCCAGTCAGCAGAACCCAAAATTCGCAGCCGCAAGATCAAGAAGACAAAATCCTCTGGACACATTGAGCAGACAGTTGGAGTTGACCCTTGCCCTGGCATGGCATTGTTGATCTGCGTAATGCTTACAGATTGTAGCATGTGGGTGCCACAAGAAACATGCACTCCAAGCTTCAGGACGCATTTGTGCATTTGGTCGTGTCCACCTATAAAGAGGCTGCAAGACTGGTATCCACAGTGGGAGAGCACTCAGCTGTATTTGCGTTGCTATGCCGATTTGATATTTGCAAGGTATTGCAGCATTGGTTGCTAGTGAAATGGCTGTTTGGTGAGTTTTTGCTGAGGCTGTTTTGCAGCGTGCTCTCCGTGCTTCGACTTTCGGTCCTCGTAGTCGTCGCTGTGGGGCGCTTTGCACCAATCACGGTGCTGCAAACATTGAGCTGGCTTCTCTCCTCGGTGTCCTGGTGCATCCTTGTGATGTGTGCGAGCATGTCGTTGAGCAGCGAGCTTGCAGGCTCATTCAATCTCATTCACAATTGCCGTCCGTGCTCTCAGGTACTCCTGGCAGTGTCTTTTGCTTGGGGGCCGGTTCTGCTGGACATCTTGCAATCCTTGGTGCTGCTTCTGCATGTGAACCCCTTCGACACCGGTGACATGATTATCTTCCGCGGAAACTATCTGCAAGTACAGCAGATCAAGCTTCTCAATACAGTTTTTCGGGATCTCTGCGACGAGGTGCTTGGGTCAGACTCGCAGTCAGACATGTGTGTCTTCTCGTAAGCGCCTTCAGCAAGTCTGGGGACAGTCTACGAGACACGTAGAAAGGTCGTAGCAACAAGCAGTTTGCCCAGGTGTTTGCATGTCCCTGCCGGAGTTTTGACCACCTAGAGCCCTGTGTGGATAAGAGACCCTTGCATCGACGCTTTGGGCCCATGAAGCGAGCATATAAGTTTAGACTTCTGAAATACAGTCAGCAAGCACGGTGCGTGGCAAGTGTCGAGGCAACCTCTCTGCTTTTGTCTCTTGAAGCCAGGAGATCTACATCCGCAACTCTGTCCTTTATGCCGATTGTGAAGGAATTCTCAACATCCGCAGATCTGGAAGAGCATCTGCAGCCATTGAGCTTTTGATTCCACCGCAATCTGCCACAAAGCCGAATCTGAAAGCACTCACTGCAGCAGCTCGTCGATATGCGATGGCGCATCCGGAAACGTGGCAAGAGCAAGTCTCTGTTGGAGTCTTTCCGACAAGCCAGCCTGGTGCTGCAGTGGTTGTTGGAATGGAGGCGTTTCCGAGTCAGGGTATACGATTGCGTGTTTCAGCTACGCATCAGCTGTCCAAATCGCAGGTGGGCCAAGTAAGAAGCGATGCCACCCAGTTTCTTATTGAATTACTGGAGGAAGCGACCAAACTCGGTGTTGAATGGCCATCACCGCATGTCGCGGACGGAGGCTCTGTCGTCGACAGCTAAGAGCCAACAGCTAGCAAGACTACTCTGCGAGCTGCAGATCTCCAGAGCAGTCAAACTCTTGTGTCCCTTCGTCTGCTGACGGCGGCCACGGCGAATACAGCACCTTCGACAAGCAGACTGACATCGGCAGACCTTGACCGAGTTACAGTGACGATGGAGTCTTTCTGACTCTAAGTTCCCACAGATGGCTTGCTCCTGGGTGGTCTACGCTGTCTGCATCTGCAGAAGTATGCGGTGTACGAGTTTGCCTACGCAGCCTAGGTATGCCTACGTAGTGCCGGACGTTCGCAGAGAGCTGTTGGCGATTCAAAGATGCGAGACACGTTCGGAGTAGTGACTTCCTCGCCTTAGATGCGTGCTTGGACCGTGATTTCAGTCGAGCTGAAGGACTGCTGCCCAGCCATCTTCTCGCAGGTGCAGCTCTGTCTCGCAACACTAGAATTTGCATCTACGGGGTGTCAATGATGACGTAATCAGGTTGATCTCAAACGATGCTTGAGAAGAGCTGACTGGCGGCTTTCATCTCAGCTGCCCTGTCATGTGCGTAAGGTCAGGAAACGACCCTCACTGTGCATATCAGAGATTTTGGCTTTACATGGCTTTGCGATGTGTTCGCTTATGTCGAACGTGGGGCAAACTCGGATGGTGTTGTCAGATGAAGCAGTATTAGTAGCGTGAAGCGAGAACGCGGGCGGTGATGGCTCGAGTCAACTGCTGGTTCCATGCCCGAATTATTAGGGTAGGAACGGCTTAGCATAGTTTGGCTAGCATCCATCCTTCCCAGAGGCCACTCGCCGCATGACTTCTCCTGCGCTCTGTCCACCCGACAATTGGGATTCGACCGAAATGGACAACACGAGCAGGGAGCAGACCGCCGGGCCCCCGACAGACAAGTTTGTAATTAAAGCCAGACGAGGCGGCATGTGTACCACTGGCCATACATTGGGTCAAGCCTCCCTCATTCACTCAAAGGCCAACCGGCAGATTTGGGATTTGTCCTCAAGTTTCAAGCAAAGCGGGTGCAAATGGCTCCGGCTGCAGATCTCTCTAAATATTCAGTTCTTCCATCGCACAGCTCGGCAAGCTCGAAGAGACACTTCGACGGCACTGCCCTTTCGGTCCGTCCAATACTCCCACGCTTCACATGGTCTGGTTCAGCTCCTTCCAATTCTGCCAACCTGATTTCTTCTAACGCATTCCGCCATGAAGCACCTCTTTCCGGAAGCAAAGCCGACACTGAAGATGGTCCTGCATGGAATGGGGCCCAGGCAATCCAATAGTCACGCATCGCAGTGCAACGCCATCTTCCGCTTTTTCGGATGCATGCCCTTCATTACATGACTCTGCCCGAAGGTTCGATCGGACAAGGTGGAGATACGGTCAAGAACAAGGCTAGGCTAGAACCGATCCAAGGCTGTACAATCAGAAATGACAAGCAACGCTAGCTACAATCGGAACCTTCAAGCAACGCTAGCAGAAAACCCTATGACCCAACGACCACAACCAGATGCTGCGCAAGCAGCAAGATGGGAAGCCAGAGGATTAGTGCACCAACAAATGCAACCCGTGACTGGGCTGCAGAGATGCCCTCACCAGACCGAACACCTTTCGGCTCGGGCCTGTGACTTCATGCCGAAGTTCCTGTTGCCAAGATTGGATTCCTGTCTTGCACATGTTTGCACAGGTCGACTTCCTCCAAGCAGGCATTGTCCATGTTGCAGAGGCAATTCGGGTGAGAGACGGGCAGTTTGAGCGCAAGTCTTCGTCTTTGCCGCAGGTATGCGGGCTCCTTGCCCATGGGATCATCTCCCCCAGAGTGGCAACTTCTTTGTCGAGGAATCCGGGCTTTGGCTTCGGAGGCTCCGATGCAAAAGCATGAGTGCAATGACTACATCGCGGACATCTTGTCCATGCGGTGCAGGAGCCTGGCATGGCTGCAGAGCTCTGCGCAGAACGCGTGTGCAAGCTGGCGGACTCCTGGCCAGCTGCGGGCTTATTGCGATGAGTCAAGCCTCGTGCAACTGCGTGCATGGACCTGAAAGGACTCAGAAGAACGTTGCCGAGATCTCATCTCCTCCCTTCTGGATGCTATGAGTCGTCCCCCTGAGGGCTGTGTGAATCAGGGTCGGTCTTTCTCAAGCGGATTTTCTCGCTGCATGAGGCCTGGAAAGGTTGGCCGAGGCAGCCACAGCTTTGGAGGTCTTTCTGAAAAGGCGGGGGCGGGCGAAGCTTCCGGGTTTCGCTGGCCTTTTGCGCTTTTGATTGGGGTCGTATCCGGTCGGTCTTTCCTTTGTCGGCACACTTCAAGGTACTTCGCGAGTTGCTGACTGCTGGCCCTGGAAGTAGATCGCAGGAGTCGTGCATCAGCGTGCAAGCTTCCGGGTTCCAACGAGGCACTGGTGATGAAGCGGCAGCAGCAACCAGAATACACATCTGGCATTGACAAGCACGTGTGCTCTGCCAGCCCGTCTTTCATCACATCACCTTCGATCATCTGTTCTTCACTCGGAGAGGGACCGGAAGTGACCAGCTGCCTTGCTAGTTGCTTGATGTGGATATGTCCTCGGTGCAGCCAAGGTTAAGTACACCCAGACTGCACGCTCTCCTGGAGGCCATTCTGAATACGAATGCCGCCGATGTCAAGGCACCCGCCAACACGCGGCTCGCCAACTGCATTTGATTGGCTTCTGAGGCCATACTGCAGCGACGCTCTGCAACCAGCCGGACGGCGTCAGAGCTGCTGTGGAGGTGCTGCGGCAGCCAGTCTGCCAGAGACTGCAGACATGGTCCCGAGATGTGGCGAGGTACTTTCAGCGGCAAGGCCATGAGAGGCCTGCATGGGCACAGCTTCAGCGCTTGGTCGAGGCACCTGAACAGGCCATCTGCCAGTGCCTGCTTTGGAGAAATTGGTCTCGCGAACATTCCGCATTCGGGAGCAAGGGCACCCTCAAGATATTGCCTTAAGGAGGAGCAGATTGAAACACAGCCGCGGCAAGAATCGGGAATGCCGTTGTTGTGGTGCAGGGGTTCAAGTGTTCACATGCCATCAGAAGTCTGATGGCAGGCTGCCAGGCTCGAGTGTGCAATCACGAAGTGTAGTAAGATGTAGTGGTATGGGAGGTTTCTCTTAGAGTCTTAAACGCTGCCGCTGTAGTGCTACACATTTCTTCAGCACGTGCGAACGCACCTCATGTGGTACTAGTAGCGTAACCTTGTTTGAACCGGCTTCGAGTGCTGGCAGTTCTACAACTTGAAAGACCGCATCAGATATCTCCACCTCGCGCAGGCCGTCGGGTGTCATGATCGCTTTGCGCATGGGCAAATCTGCGGTGACTGCATTGTTTGGACAGGAGCAGCGCAAGAGCGTGAGCTCTGCGTCCTTGCAAGAAGAGCTTGCGCTGAGATTGGGGGCGGTGCACCGGCCAGGTTATGACAAGGGGGCATGCGGGGCATGCTTAAGTTTCCCGAAGTGTTTGTTTCGTGCAGCGGTTGTTAGCCATGCTGGCCTTGCATTTGGAGGCCGAAAAGCTCCAGCAACCCTTGCTGAAGGACTGCAGCCCTATCGGCGCAAGAGATAAGACAGGGAAGCGGTGGCTATCTTCATGTTCATGTTGTGGGAAGTGTGTGTGTGTGTGTGTGTCAAACCCTGTCTCCAAGGGAATCGTTTGCAGCAGATGGGTGAGGGTCTTTCATCTGTGCCTCAGCCAACGAAGACCACAAGTGTAAGGACGTGCAGACGTACCTGCTGAGTTGCACTTGGATCCCGTTGTGGATAACTGGTGGACTCGATGAAACTGTGTGCGCATGTTCGGATTGTCTGGCAAGTGTTGTTAGACTGTTCTTGCACATGAGAGAATGCTGATTACGCACAGGCGATTCTTACAGATTTGACTTTCGAGAATGCTTCCAGGCATTGGACACATTGTGTCAAATGTGGGTGTACTTTCACGCACTTTCCATGTTAGGATGAACCTGGTCACTCCCAGCTCTTGAACTGCCCATACAGCCAAACAAGCACTGCAAGCAACATATTGCTCTATAATTCATTAGCTGGGGGGCCAGTGCATGTCCGAGAAAAAGCTAGCAACACGATGGTTTGAACACCAAGTCCTCTGTTGCATGAAAACCGAGGTTGACCGATATGGCACCAGAAAAATGTTTTCTCATACGTGTACGGTTGCCGCAATGTGCCGCAATCTGTCTGCCAGCTTTCAGTAATTTGCATGTATGTATGCAAGCATGCATGCGGGTTGTTGGTTCGTGGAGTTTGAGTCGCGCTCGTGCTGTGTGTGAACGAGTCTGAGAAGATGGTTTTCTCACCGTTTAAAGCCGCAATCTGTCGGACGAGTGTAAACGCGTCTTCATATGTGGAGATGTTGTTTTCGCATGTTTTCGCTGCTGGGTTGCCGATGCAGGAGCTGCTGGTCTTGGCAGAGAACGAGAAGCAAGATGCAAGGCCAAGCCACGGTAATTGTCAACGTGGTGTCAACGTGCATGACTGCCCAGGTGGCGTGATGCAGCCCGCAAGCGCTCTTCAGAACTACAGCACCTGAGGAGTGCACGTGAGCTCTACGAGGCGACAGTCAAAACATGTGACATCTTGAATGTCTCCGGTTGGGGGAAGTAGAGCATGGGCGCAAGGGCGAAACTAAGGATAGGTTGGGAAAGGATGGCACAGCTTCCACCGAAGCGATTCCTTATGTATACTTACATTGCGACCTGGAGCGTAGATTTGTGACGTCCATGAGGTCTGCTCAGAAACCTGCCATCTTAATATCTTAGGTAGAGGAAAGGTTTAAACTTTAAACCGTTGAAGCATCGTGCTCGGCTGTAGCTGAGAGCTTCTGTCAGGTGGCCGGTGAGTTCGGGTTCTGGCATCTGCAACTAGGCATCGCCGGCTTTTCAGGCTGGAGTCGGTGAGACATCTACATATGTCTCGGCATTCACTCTGTTCGCGTTCTTGCTCCAAGCTCTTGCATTCATAAATCGCTTGGGTTATCGGGTACCGTTCGGAAAGGCGTGAACATGGCACATGATGTGGCGACGACACTGCACGGGCCACAGACGGAAAGCGACATGAACCTTGCTTTCGATGAACAGTGACCAGTGAATATTTGTGTGATTCTTTGCAGTTGGTCATCACAAAATTGTCCTGGAGGTGGGCTGGCTTCTTGTTCCCTGCTGATGGTCCCTACAACTCGCACAGTGACGAGGATCGGCTTTTGTGCGCCCCCAGCTCTCTCTATTCTTGCCACGAGCAGCAGGTAGCTTCACCCAAGCTGCTGTTCCCTTTGCTGATGCGGCGGCCGCACACATGTTTCTTCGCCTCCAAGCAGGCTGTTGACCGTGATCGCACCACCGAATGTCTCTGGATGTCTGGAGTCCTGCGCTGCAGTTGGAGCATCGCAAGGAGGAGATGGACGAACGGCAGCTGAAGCCGTCGCTGCTTCGTGATCGAGTACTCGCATTTCTGCAGGAGCTCAAGGAGGCGAAGAACAAATAACTAACATACTGAGCCTTGAGAGAAGCTGCTGTGCTTTTTGTTCACTGCCGTTCTTGTGTTACAGGTTGCTCCAACCAGCCACCAGCTGTGGCATGTGCGAGGGGTCGGATGCCTAGTCAGACGTGGGGTCTGTCTGGCGGCCTAGAAGTCGTAATGAGACAGCTGGATGTGTTTTAACACGTGTGCCAAGATTGCAACACTTCTGGAGTTCAGCAGCTGCCTGTGGCTAAATGCTTTGCAGAAGGCCGGGTTCCACGAGCATTCGCTGGAGCTAGCACCAAGCTAGGACAGCTACTTCCTCTGTGAGCGATGATGAGCTTTTGAGGTTTCGTGAGATCCTGCTAGACCTGGCTGTGCCCGGTAGCTTTTGGGGCGTAGCCAGCATGACAGCGCGTTTTCGTGGGCCGGCCCGTGCGCACATACACTGGAGACACACCCCAAAAATTGAAATCAACAAGCAGAGGTGAGATTGATTTTATTTTCTGATGGTTTCAGTATCGAAGAGAATTGTGCTTGCGCCCAGGACCCTTCACACCGGACCACGCCGTGTGATCATTGGATATCATTGGCGTCTGTTGGACTCCAGCTCACGTGTTGGATGATGTTGGATCCATTTTGCAAGTGCGTGTACGCCGTGTGCGCATCGAAAGTCGCATCGACATACCCGCTTCCCATCCATTGCCTAAAACGTCTGCTGCCAGTCCGACTCTCCGCCAATGATGGTGGTCCAACTCTGGAAAGCGCAATCAGACCGCACAATCACTACACCGTGAATCGTGAATTCTCGCTGCTAGCTGCCCAAAAAAGGCTCAAAAACGTGCTCCAGCTTGTGTGGGCGAAACCAGGCCTGTATGTATACCACATACATCCTTCCGGTGCTCTAGCGACAACTCGGGCGAAACCTTGGCCCCGTACCAAACGCCCGACTCCGCAGAAGGAGGTTGGAGGCGGGCGCACGCGCAGTGCCAGGGCAGGATGCACCACCAGCAAGGTTCTATTCGGGTTTGCAAGAGCCCCCCCAGAAAGCGCGGCCTTGCTTGGAGCCACATGTAGTTGACCCAAACCACCTTCGTTGAAAGGGGTTTGGGAGATGCTGGGAGTATCTTCCTAATATTTCGCCAAGGACCCTGGAAAGTTCAGGGAGTGAGGGAAGTTTGGTTAATCTGCCGGTATGTATGTGCCTCATAATCAATTAGTTTTTGGACATGGTTGGATCGGGGGCAAGTGCAACAACTGGAGAAATGATTTTATTCTATCCTAAATCAGACAAGGTGTAGCTTCGAAGTTTGAGCTGGGACATGGAGGAACTACACACAGTTTGACAGGCAGCGAATATCCTTCTTGCTTGAAGTGTTATTGTATGTGTTCCGGAGTTTGCCCTACAGCCCAGGTCAGGCCAAAGGTGCAGAACTGTATAGGTATTGGAAGACGGCCTGCTTGGGAGTCTTCGAAACAGTCCAGGTTGTCAACATTTTCATCAGAACAGGCACCATAAGAATTGTCAGAGCGCCACCGGCCTTGGGAGAAGATTGAAAAGGTTTTGGAAGACGTCTTCGTCAAGCGGTGCAATTCGTTTGTGTGGCAGGTCGGGCAGACAACCGAGTTGCAGGAGAAAGGACTGTCTCGATTAGTACACCGTTCACATCGCGCAGTCTTTGTGGGGAAGCAGGAGGTGATGGAGCTGCTGGTTCGTCACTCATCGACGAGAATCGGCTGTGGGCCGATTGCCTGGGAGTATGTGTGGAGCTGCTCGCTCTTCTAGCGCAACGGGTTGGCATGCTCAGGTCGCGCTGGAGGTCCTGATGCAAAAGCCCTTTTCATTCTCCCTTCCCGACTTGATCACTTTCTACGCAGCTTGGCAGTACAACACCGGCTTTGCCATCAAGTTAATGTTCAGGCTGAGATCAGCACCATTCACTCTAGCAGGAGTAGGAGATGGAGTGAGAGTCGGAGGCAGGAGGAGTAGGACGAGAGGAGTAGGTGAGGAGGAGGAAGAGCAGAAGGAGAAGGAGTTGCAGGAGGAGGAGGAGGAGTACGGTCGAATTTTACGTTTAGACAACTACATTCTTTCCCCAGAGTCTCACGCATTTCTTAGGAGGGGGGTAGCCTTTAAGAAATTCCGGAATTCAACCAGGCTCTCAGCATCTTTCGTATGCAGAACCTAAGGGGGGTTGCTAATCGGCCTACTCCTCAGGCAAATTCCAAACCGTCATCCTCAGCCCAAAACCGAAACTCCTTAACCTGGCAATCTTCGAGGTCTAGATTACATTTCATTAATTCGTGTAAAGGTCTTATCTTGTTTTTGACAACGTGCAATCGGCTGCGCCCTTGAAGAATCTCCAACACTCAGCGGAGCTTCGGCAGACGTCCCGGGGTATTTCTGCTCGCAAGATAGAGTCACGAAGTCGAAAGGATTCTCCGGGATTTTCACAACTGAACCGCCCCATGGGTCTCAAGACAAGGTTCTTCGAAGCCGCGGCCGTTGGATAATTCCTCCGTTCGGTTTTAAGCAAGGACCGATCCATTGCAAAATCAGCCAGCAGGCATCAGAAACTGGAGGCGAGTATCGGAAATCGGGGTTTGGAAACTGGCGCAGGACCATGGGGGTGGGGGGTGACGGTAGCGTCCATGGTCGAACGCATTCTGAGCACAAAGCATCCAGGGC